CCCCGGCACCGCGACCGCGGGTGCGTGCGGCTCCTCCCCGCGGGGGAGCTGCCCTCAGACCCCGCTTCTTGAAGGGGCCCCAGGACACACAAATAAATACACACAAATAAAAAGATTCCCCATATTTTCGTATATTTTCTGGGGTGTTGTCTTCCCCCCCACTTCCCACATTTTCCCGTATTTCCTGGGGAGTCGCCGATGAATTGTGCCTGTGTGCTTCTTTCCCTCCTGAACTGCGGCCTCCAGGGAGGACTCCTGGAGGCCTGGAGATGGGCACCAGCGCCAACGCAGGGGGGCGGGGCCTCCACGGGGCCAGGTTTCGGCGCTGGTGGTAATGCTTCGGCCACCCCTGGAAGCCCAGAGTGTTGCCACCGTCACCAAGGTCGGAGTAGTCCTCCCTCGGTGGAGGCGCACCGCCGATGTTGGTGCTGGTGTCAACCTCCAGGCCTGCGAGACTCGGACGAGATCGTGAGGAAGGAGGCGTGGGCAACCCCGTGGAATTCGGGCGGAAGCACCGACGGTGCCAAAAGGCGCAGCCGCCTCTGCCGGCCCCGCCCCTGGCCGGCTGGTCGCCCCCGTGAGGGGAGGAGTGCGGCAAGAGCCCGTCTCCGAGACACGCAAAACAGAACTGACTCTCCAGAACCAAATCCGGCATGCGTCGGGCCATTTTTTCCGTGCTGTTGCGAGTGTACGCTCCGCACCGCGCAGAGCACTGAGGGGTGGCACCTCTCGGGCCCGTGGTGATTCTCGGGACCGTGGCACAATCCGATCTTCCTCCCTCGCTTCCCCTTCCTGCTCCCTACATCCCGCCCGTCACCCTGACCCACATGGGACTGGATCGAATCGGGCGGCTGGGCTGGGCTGGGCAGAGTCCCCCTGCCTTTGGAGTCGGTGCCGTCGCTGCCGGGAGCGTCGTCCCCCCGCCCCCGCTGGCGCACCGTCGCCGTCGTTGCTGGTGTCGTCGTCGTCGTCGTCGTCGTCGTCGTCGTCGTCGTCGTCGTCACCGTCTGTCGTCTGTTGTCGTGGTCGTGGTCGTGGTCGTGGTCGTCGTCGTCGTCGTCGTCGTCGTCGTCGTCGTCGTCGTTGTCGTCGTCGTGGTCGTCGCTCGTCGTCGTCGTCGCTGTCGTCGTCGTCGTCGTCGGCGGCGACGTCGTCGCGGTCGCTGTGTTCGGTGTCGTCTTCGTCGGCGCCAGTCGCTGTCAGCAGGAGGTGAATGTGGGGCCAGATCGGCTGACTGTCTGGACGCTGTCCGGTCTCATGGCCGATTGACTGACGTGGAGCTGCATCCCTGGTTGCTGGTGGGAGAAGCCATCCCACAAAACTTGTGGGACGCCACCTGTGCGTCAGGGGTGCCAAAAACTGAATCCAGGACTCCTCTAGCAGGGTCCTGGAGGTCATTTTTAATGACCCCTACCGCACGCAAGGCATCCCAAGAGGCGTGGGGCGTGAAGGCGTAATCCGTACGCGGCGAGCTTGCCTCCTCCCGTCCCCCCCCCCGTGTGTCTGGACCACCCCTGGGCGGTCCTCGCCCCTCCCCCCACCCTTCCCTCTTCTCGCCTTCCCCTCTCCCACGTTTCCCCCTCTGACCCCCCTCCTCCTCCCTCCTCCTCCCTCCTCCTCCTCCTCCTCCTCCTCCTCCTCCTCCTCCTCCGTCCTCCTCCTCCTCCCCTCCTCCTCCTCCTTCTCCTCAGACCTCCTCCCTCCTCCTCCTCCGCCTGCCTCCTCTCCGCCTCCTCTTCTCTCCTCCTCCTCCTCCTCCTCCTCCTCCTCCTCCTCCTCCTCCCCCCTCCTCCTCGTCCTCCTCCTCCTCCTCCTCCTCCTCCTCCTCCTCCTCCTCCTCCTCCTCCTCCTCAGACTCCTCCTCCCTCCTCCTCCTCCTCCTCCTCCTCCTCCTCCTGCTCCTGCTTCCTGCTCCTGCCCTGCTCCTGCTCCTGCTCCTGCTCCTCTCCTCCTGCGCCTCCTCCTCCTCCTCCTCCTCCTCCTCCTCCTCCTCCTCCTCCTCCTCCTCCTCCTCCCCTCCTCCTATCCTCCTCCCTCCTCTCTCCTCCTCCTCCTCCTCCCTCCTCCTCCTCCTCCTCCTCCTCCTCCTCCTCCTCCTCCTCCTCCTCCTCCTCCTCCTCCTCCTCCTCCTCCTCCTCTCTCCTCCTCCTCCTCCTCCTCCTCCTCCTCCCTCCTCCTCCTCCTCCTCCTCCTCCTCCTCCTCCTCCTCCTCCTCTCCTCCTCCTCCTCCTCCTCCTCCTCCTCCTCCTCCTCCTCCTCCTCCTCCTCCTCCTCCTCCTCCTCCTCCTCCTCCTCCTCCTCCCCCTCCCTTCCAGACCCTAGGGTCTGGGTTGGGTCGAGCCGAGCCAGCGATCGGGGCTCGGCCCCCCCCGATCTCTGCTCGTGGAGGGCCGATCGCGCCGAGTGGTCCTGCGCAGCCCTCCGTGGCTGCCTTGGCCCCCAATCGGGTGCTGCTAGAAGTACCCCTGGCCCAAGGTGCCCCCAGGATCTCCAGGGAGGC